GTTTTTATTGGTCCGGAAATCAAACTTTTTAGTCACTTTTGTGTCGATCAGCTGTGCTGATGTGATAAATAGAGAAACATTTCTGGTTTTCAATTATCGTTCCATTAAACTGGAGCATTTTGCTAGCAATCAATTTGTCTAATAAGAAGTCGGCATTAGAAAGGATTCGTTTGCAAAAAAGTGCTGAAGTTTTGATGACATTTTCAATTTATGCCATCGAAAGTGCAAAAAATATAGTTTATAGTAGGTATTTTTGTTGAACATTTATCGTCTAAACTACCCCATTTTTGGGTTGTGTTCTTAAGGCCACAGTTAATACATGTAAGGAGCTGCTCTCAACTTTAGGGACTTGATCCCTGTACCTTTACCCCAAAAGACTTCTGTTTATTGGAATTTTGCTGTTTAAAAGGTTATTCATGAGCAGATTGATGCACATCATTACATAAAATTGTTCATACCTCTGCATAAATGATTCTGCCAGTCTCATCGTATCGCATTTAACTACTTTTTCTTGTCAGCGGATTTTACAGATATTAAATAAAAACAGATTTACTACGTTTGAGAAACATTTGGTTATTTTAATGTATATAACACCAAGGTGATGCGTGTGTAGAGGATGTTTGTGGAGCAGGAGTTGGTGACTGCTTCGAAATCAAGATGTCCATTCAAAAATATCTACCATAAGCGACGATTTATCACGAGGACTATCTTTATGGCAAACTATAAGCAGCATTTAACTGCATTCACATAGGAAACCTTGACACCGCTTTTTGAATGAATATTACGAAATGAAGTGCACTCAGACGATTGATTGGATCAGTGCTCACTCACGCTGATTGGCCCAAATCACTAGGGTCGTGAGTAAGGGAAAGGCGTTCAGAGACTCAGGGCTACTCCAGCATCATAAAGAAACATAAAGTAGGAAAAGCGGCATCAGGCCGACCAGTGGCATCCACGCATGTTTAATACTCCTCTCAACCACGCTATAATTCGACACGTAGATACTAACCAGCAATAAAATCCGTACATGGTTTGCATAACGACCGCTACCTTTAACTGTCCAGGGTCAACCGCAGTTCCGTGGATATTTCCCAAAGCATGACTCACCATCGTGTCCTTGAAGAGCCCGGCTTATTTGCACTCGAGAGGCAGGTTAGGTGATTGACTAGGTTAGGTCATGCAGGCCGAAACAGACCCTTCACGAAATTAGCACACGAACCTATGATGTAAGTCGGTTAATATTCGTAAGACCACTTCAGAGGGCATCGGAGCATTTTCGCGTAATGGCTGTTTCAATTCCACAAGTCATGAGACTCTCTGACTAGGTTATAACCCCCTTTGATGTAACGTTCAATTGCAGTTCTCTTGTCTTACATCCCTCACCAAGCACTTGAAATAAGGTCTTAAAAGACAAAATGATTGTTACATTCCGTCATAAATTTGCAACTTGCTAATTGTTCATTAACGGATTTAGGTTGGCTAAAAATACAGACAGACCCATCGTGCAAACTGACGTCGATCATTTAAAGCATCTGCATACACTGTGTGGACAGTGTGTTACTAAGCTGATGAGGGCATGCAAACTGGCACATTGGTTGGCTGACCTTATGACTTAGGGTGAATTTAACCCCACAATTTTCATGGGAAAATGATGTGTAGGTGGGCATAAGCTTGCGCTGAAAATTGCATCCCTGGCACTGCATCAACGTGAACATGAGGTGAAGACGATCCAAGCCTGGCTTATGGACACGACTGAAATGTTCGTGGTTGATTAGGGCCAAGTCGAAAGTGCAAATCACGTCAGAATTCTAAACAATGAGCTAAAAATGAGGTCCAAAGTGAACAGTCGTTCGTTTAGGTCAAAAGATGGCCTAATCAACCTGGTAAAACCCTGATACTGTCAAGCGCTGAGTTTGTCCTAAGGACAGCTGTGCGGATCCGGTCACCAGGATTCTTATTCGTTCAATATCGGTTAACATGGGCATTTAAACAAGTCTTGTTATTAGATTCCTGAGGTCTAATAATGTCACTCGACGCATTTAAACTGTTATTGAGTGGTGGCAGTAGCTGCAAACACAAGAATCCGTACGTGTTCAACACTGGGAGCAATTGTACGAGGAGAGTTGACGCGAGAAATCAGTAAACACATGCATGTAAATGCGTTTTATTAAGTGAATAACTGAATTTATACATATTTTTCAAAAAATTTAATGTAAAAAAAATAGAAAACAACGAGTAGTTGTCGCTTATTGTACAGGTAAACATCTGCAATGTCAAGGATTTTTTGCCAAGTAATCGACCTCGATGAGCAGGGAAACACAAGGCTGACCAAATAAGTTTGTGCATGAATGCACCACCCGACGGCGAAACTTGCACCCTGTTTACGTCCTAAAAGGTGGGCTTGCAAAACGCCGTGTTGTGCACCGATTTACTGGTGTTCACATGCTCTTAGAGCACATTTTTTTCGGTGGGACGTAAACATCGGAGATTGGTAGAAGTTACCGAATTCACCTGGACACACAACTATGAAGCGAGTAAGTGGGTTTATTTCAGGGAACGAGGGACAAAATTGACAAGATTTTCACTGCTAATTAACTAAAATGGATTTTTCCAGAATCGGTTGTAATGCTTCTCGTGTTAGGAACATTGGTGGCTTAATTTTGATGTTAGTTGGTTTTAACACGACAAAATGCCTGCTTTTGCGATACGCCGCCTCTTGCATGCTGTAAAGAGGTGTAGGATGTACGACTGGAGCGTTTTGGTTTACGACCACTGTTATGTCGATTATTTTACTGACAACTCTGATCGGGCCAATGACTATTACACTTGCCTGATGTCAAAAGTGATTGCAGTTCTTTAACCGCTAAAATCGAACGGAATCTAGCCAAATTTCACTTGGTCGTGAACATCCATTGGCTTTCTCTCTGGATGAAACAATCTAACCTGCGAGGGACAATTAAATGACTTTACACGTTGGTGTCGTCAGAGATCATTGATGTTGCTATAACAAATAACTTCTCGCGTTGAGCTTATCCTCAGCTCAATCGCCTAATAGATCTGATTTAAGAATCTCTCTAAACAGCAATAGTACTGTGGCGTCGGATCAGGGCGCAGACATGTTGGGCCACCTGGCCTCAGACAATCCCGTGTCCCTCTGCGATCCAATGGCATGCGGGAAAGGAAGGCAGCTAACCAGAGAAGGACATGGATGAGATGCAGTATATAATGAGCGGCATGACCAGTGTGGCGGACTCGGATGGAAGGCGCCTGACGCGTGGCTCTGGCTTCTGATTGGTCAATAAAGCCTGTTCTGTTGTACCGGTATTTTTCCTATTAGGGCTCGGGTGTTCTACAGTACAATGTGTGTTGTTGTCAAACACCAGTTTAAATCTACGCAAAGTAATTTAAACAACTTAGACAAATCAAATTAACATATCGACTTATATTCGCCAATACTAGGACAATTCTGTCCTTGAATACTTACTATTAATTTCCAGCAACTGAACCACTGGAAGGACCACGTATAAGCACGTGAGGGTATGAACTTTCGTTGCAAGATAATTTAAACACATGATGTGCTAAAAAAAACAGTTTTTGTTCACCTCTCAAGAACCCAAATCCTAGTGTATATATTATCGAACGACATGTACTTGTAACCTAAATTTAAAGTTCGAGGTGCCTCCAAATTTAACATCATTAAAGGTGTTAAAATTAGAAGACCATATCTTGCTGTTGAAAAATGCTTTGGCAAGTCAAACAGTCACGACCAAAGCATCTCCAGGTCATGTTTCTTTAGAAGGAAAAGTTCCTTTCAAGGAGCAAAATATAACCCGCTTCAGTGAGTCCTTTTCATGTTCAGGTGCTGCATGTACAACTGTCCATTTGGTAACTCCGTCATTCGTTTAAAACGCAGACTTATTACTGAATATGTGGTCGGTTCCAAAGTCGTTACAGCAAAGCTTGGGCTTTGCTTAGCAACCCGGTTTGATGCAAACGGTTTCTAATGATGTGCCAAGCAACTGACTTGAGGAGTTGCATTTCTGGGCTTGCTCTTAGAAGAAGTATCCTTGAATTGACTAGTTTTACCATCGATTTTGAAGCAATTGGCCATCCAGCTGCCCTTTTCGGACACAAACACCTCCTTCTGCGTCCAAACCTGCTTCACTAGTTTGTAAAATCGTGAAATAAAGTGCGCTGAGTTTGAGCGTACTTTCTAACACAAGCCACTTTTTCTGCTGCATCAAGCACCATGTCTAACCCCGAAATGGTATTGATTTTAAAGTACCCTTTTCGACGTTTCTTCCCGTAATTGTTTACAGGGCCATTGCACCCTTGCGTGTCATTCCCCCGTCGCACAAATATAGACGAATGCAAGGGCATCAAGATCACAAATTGTTTCCCAGCCGCCAAACCGTTAGATGCACACGCGCATCCCCAGCTGAACAAATCTATCGCATCAGGTCACCAGCTGACTTTGAGGGACTCGAACAAGGAACTAGTGCGTGTGCCCCGAACAACATCGGCCTAGATCCTTGACCTCCAGGCGGCATCGCAGCATTCCCTTAATTAGATTTTGAAGGCTCTGGTGAACGGCTACCATCCCTGCGACGATTTACGCGATGGCTAGCACTCAACACGTCTAGGAGGTTCAGTAATCTGAAGAGGTATTTAAGATGAGCACGTAAGTCTTGCCATCTTGACACACTTAAGCAAAATCACATGCCCTCGAGTCAGGGAACTGTGATCTGGTAACACGCAATTTACATTTCTAGTCATTAATGTAGTACAAAGGGCGTTTACTAACGTCTAATTGTCAAAAATTTGCAAAATACGAGGAAGTGGAAAACCCAACAGCGAGTGGTGCCGCCACAATTTAGACAGGATAAACGTGGTTTACAGACATCGGGAAAGGAAGGGTGGAGGTTAAATAGAAAAAGGACATCCAAGTAATGGCGTTTGGAGCTTAGAGAGAGAGAGAGAGGGGGAGAGAGAGATAAGTGTCAGCGTGGGATCTGAGGGGGTTCACGCCAGACGGCGCTGCTTCCACGTGGACGCGAGCGAAATTTGAAGCCATGAAAGAGGTCGGCATCGTCGAAGTGGACGCTTTCAGCGGGGCGGAAGACATTTTGCCACCGAAGTTCACCCTGATACACCTTGGAGACCCATTGCAGCAGTTCGGCGCTACCTGAAAAAAAGACGAACCAGTGTTTACAGGGGAATCTGGGCTCGTCTACCGTTTTGAGTGAAAAATTATCCTCCTTAGCTCCCGACGACGGGCAACTCAGTAAACTAATCAAATGCAATGGAGTTGATAAAAAAAGGTTAACCAAATTGGTCTGAGGGCCAAGGCGGGCGCCACCAACCTAGTCAAAAAACAGTATTTGTCTTTCTTGGCATTGGTTGCAAGTACGACAAAATAATACCAAATAGGAATAGGACAAAGTGTTTAAATCACCATGAGTCTAATGAAAGAGCTTCCATTCAGCAGGTGTTTTAGACAACCCTCGGTAATTTGGAAGTAAATTCAAAAAAATCAGTGGGATTGCGAGCCCAATTGCTAAAAAATCATGGAATTTTTAACCAGCCGGGCAGGATGTTATCGCTGCGTGGGCGTGATTATCGAGACCAATGGAGGGTAAGAATAAGCCGCAGGTGCCAATCAACTTGGGATAGACCTGTTGGCACAGTCTTCCGCTAACTGTCCCCTACAGACACGCCCATCTCTGCCAATTAAATTTTAGGGCTACAGTAGTAGTGAATTAGTTGGGTACCACACCAAGGTCAGTGTAGGAGAGGAAAGACGATAAGATGAAAGATACCTTTTCTTGATTATTCAGATGAGTCAGATTGACGTGCTTTTTAAACATAGGCCTGTGATAAATTTCTGCATCGATTTTTTGCCTCAAAATGAACCCATGTCCAAACAACGCATGGCATTTTTAACACTCTTTCAGGTTCTGGTTGGTGTCGTGCATCTGTCGTCCACGTTCTTTGTTGATAGACAAGCCGCATTACAAGGCGATGACGACACCTGTCTGACAATGCCTCAAACTCCAGTCACTGGTTACCGAGGACATGCCGTCCACGGAGGTGACACAATTCCAGCGACAATGCAGTTTACGTCTGGCCCACGAAGCACTAGCACAAACACTGCAAAAGGCCAAAAAACTACCCTATTCTAGAGTTGGCATCCACTCCACCAATCCCTATTCCGACACATTTCGCTTGATTTTGCCGTTCCAAAAAAGTATGACCCAAAGCTGTTACTACAACACGAGCAAGTAGATTCGAAATCGCAACAAAATAGCTTTAATTACAGCTACTGAGGTGATCTCTTAAGTAGCTGTGCTAAAAAAAAGACAAAGTTGAAAAAAGAAGGTCAGAAAATTTCCCAGTTGATCATAACAACGAACTTTGCCAAATATCGGTCAGATGAGGGCGAAATCTTTGATCCAAATCCGATTTCGACTAATTGAGTAAGGTGCACGAAAAGAAATTTTATGAGGCAGCGACAAACTCCCAACTACTTAGGCTCGATCCTGCTGGGTGACTTTCATCATGATTGACGAAAGTTGAATCGAATTTACCACACAAAAAACAAATTCAAGCTTCGCTAACCACACACGCCTCTACACTACATTCGTGCGGTAACGTTCATCACAGGGACGTGATATTTTGGCCAAAATTTTGCATCATGATTTCGGAGTTGTAAATAGCAATTGCGTCGGTTGATGTGGGATGACAATGTCGAGGACCCTGAAGGTGAGTCATCGTAGTGGAGGATTTCACATTCACTGTTACTCGCGTCGTTACAGTTAGTGGGAGAAGGAAGTTGTGGTGCTTGGCCCTACGTGGTTGTCGTTTCACTTCACTGGTGGCCGTAAACCTACCGCTTCGTGTTCACAACAAGCAACAGACCACCGTAAACAAAAACTGGCAAATAATACTTTCGTAGCTGAGTACAAGAGCCTCAAACAACATCGGCGTCTGCAGCTGACGGCACTAAGAAGCAAGTCAAGTTACATTAACAATCATGTGGCGAATGACTTCTCTCTAGATCTTACCTGGCTTGGCCCACGAGGGAATTGGTTTTTTCTTGCGTCGATTCTCCTCCTCGGAGTCGGAGTTGTAGTCCGAGAGGACACCAGATAGGTCATAGGAGATCAGGGATCTTAAAAGAAGGAAAACAAAATCAAACGATGGCACCCAACCCCAGAGTGGGCTTGACTTCCACGTCCGCAAACACCAAATACCAACCAGTGAGACAAATGGCAACTCTAAACACGCGTTCTCATGAAACGAAGGTATCGTTCGAGTCGCCCACACAAGTGAGAGCCAAAACGGTGGAATAGATAGAGCAAAAAAAGAAGTAAATCACTCACTCCTTCTTGGCAACTGGCTGGGGCTGGCCTTGAGAGGTGGCGTTTGCGGGCATCGTTGCAGCACTACTGGCGTAGTCGAAGTTTTTGATGTATTTACTGTTGTTACTACTACTACTAATACTGCTCGCGAACTGCGTAGACGACGGAACGTTGGTGGAGATGGGAGCCAGAGGTTTGATAAGGGATGCCGCTGGCTGGGAGTTCATGCTTGTTTTCGCTGTCAACGGCTTCTCCTTCAGCTGAGAGGGGCGGAGGAAGGGAATTGAAGAAATGTAAGTGTCGGAACAAACCACACTCGAGACTGCAAAGCCAGTCTGACTGCTTAGTAAGGTGAATAACAAGGAGACGCTAGACGTGGTACACGAATGGGCTCGCCAGCAGTGAAGCTGCCTCGCCAGAGCGTCATGATCTCAATGGTACCTTTTGCATCCGCTGCATTTCGGCCTCAATTTTCCTGGCTCTGGCAGCCTGTTTCTCCTGGGCCACGCGCTCGGCGTTCGCGCGCACCGCCTGACGATGAGCGTCCATGGCCCTCGCCCTGGCTCGCCTCTCCTCCTCCTTCTGCTGCTCCAATTTACGCTGGCGCTCCTTCTGTGCGGCCGACTCGGCAAGCACGCGCTGGCGCCGTTCTTCCGCCGTCGACAGCTTCTTTGTCAGCACTGCCTGGACCCGGGAATTTGTGGAGACACGGTGTGCTTGGCCGCTGGCACGATTGACGGAGAGAATGGACGTCTCGGCAATGACTACAAGTCAAATTATGGCACAGGGAGATAAGGACAAGGATGTCATCTCGGGAAATAGATTGTGAATACTATCGAATATTTCAGCCGATTATTAATCAGTACTGAAAGCAGGTTCGGACACACATTCTGTCTGATTGAAACAGGCGATTTGATCCTATCTTACCACGCATCGAACACCTAGGCGCCAGTGAACAAACACAACGAAACTAAAAGGAAATTTGAGTCAACTGGGCGATTGAACTGACACCAATGAGATACCATTGGTTGTTAGAAGACACTGGATGCTGCCTGTCCAGAATGAGATATTCCGTTGAGCTAACATCTTAACAGCACCGCCATCAAGAGCAGGGGTGCTTTGAAAACTGGACAGCTGCTGTTGAATTCCAAAAAAGACGTCTGATTAGCTTGAAGTAATGTGCGAATTCGACTGCGCAAATAACGAACTTAGTGGAGGGCGATGCCTTAAATGCACCTTAGTCGCCAAACCACGACATTTCTGGGGTGAATTTGTTTGGCACGTGTAAACAGAAACATTGACGCAGGTGTGCGAGGCAACGCCTGGATACACCAACATCGAGGCACGTGGTCTGCTATCGATAATAATGAGAATTCGCTTACCAGAAATATTGGTTTTGTGAGGCCCGATGGTTTTGTTCAACCTTCCAGTGTGGGGTAGGCGCGAGGCTGAGAGCGGTTTGGTGAGTTTGCCGCCAGTTGCTGTTGGCATCGGGTTTTCGGACTTCAAGGATTTTTTGGCGTGTTGCTGTTGTTGTTGCTGGTTGTTGTTGTTGTTGAACCAACCGAGGCGGCTCAACCAGGACGGTCCGGCACTGCTTGACCAAGGTGTGTTGCGCTGCGTCAGACGGCTCAGTGTAGAGCCAATCAAACCAGGAGCCGGTGTCGAAGCTATCGGGTGGGTTTGCTCCAAAACCTCCTTCGGTGAAGGCCTGGCCAACGTCGACGACGGCTCTTCATCTGGAAGGGGAGACACTATGTCGTTTTCGGTGCCGCTTTCCTCTGTCATTAGACTCGAGCAACGATGGGACGCCGGGGCCTCGACGGTAGTGGTGGCGGGAACGGATTCGTGATTGGAATTTTCTTGTTGAAGACGAAGACTTTCCTGGGGAGTTGGCTCAGACTGGGGGGCAGAAGGTGGACGGACAACCTGTTCCAGTACTGGCGCCATCTCTACATCGGACTTCTTATTCTCCTGCGAGTAGGGATACGAAAGCAGTCAGTGCTCTGGTGCACAAAATTATAGTGGTTTTAATCACGAAAAGCAGACCGCTGACAAATTTGCAAGCCTGCCAGTAGTCGACCAGAAAAAAGCATTTGTAATTTTTTCTACGTAAAACATGTCAGTAGCTAGTCTTACCTGGCGTGTTTGAGAAGCAGCCGGAGGGGACGACGGCCTTTGCGACGATGTGGAAGGTCGTTGACAACTCCGTTTTGGAGGCAGTGGCGACTTGAACTCTTTGGCAGACACCACTGATACCTCCGGAGCTACTTTTTGGCGCTTCTGAAAATAACAGTACATTATTTTAAAGTAAAACAAACGTGCCAACACATGCACGAGACGGTGACATGCGAGAATACCCCAGTGAGTCAGTTTCTACTACTACGCATTACTTTACCACACGTGGACACATTCTAGAAATGATAACCTTCAAAATGATGACGAGTGAAATTCGCGTGGATGATTGTCTAGTCCATTCGCAAATCCAAATAAAGAAAACACACTTTCGAACACTTGGATTCCAAATCATACTGATGTGTGGACACTAACGTATAGCTAGAAAAACGTACCACGTTTTCAGTGTCCTTAGAAATCGGATTCAAACAAGTAACATCTGCAGTTGCACTGACTTCCACACACCGCTCTCTTTGACTCAATTGTGCTTCGCCATACTTACACAAGAATACAGAAGTACCTATTAATTTTGGCGCAGTTAACTCTACCTGTAACTTTTATGTATACAATGATACCCAGTATTTAATCAGTGACGACGGAATCGAACTGGGAGAACAGCAATTATAAAGTGCTAACAGTGCTTTGTATTCAATCCCAGAGTCCAGTTTTAATTGCTTTAAAAAAAAAACTTAAAAAGATGAAAAATTGCAGGTTCAGCACTAAGGCTGGATAATTAGCTAGTAAAAACGCTATGTTGAATTTGAAAATGTATAAAATCAGAAGGGAGAAAATTAGTAAGAATTTTCAACAAACTTGCCTCTGAATGGGGAGGTACGAGCCTTTGAGCAAGTGGTGTGCGTTTCAACGTTTTCGTCAGTGATGGATCTACTATTGGCTAAAACGTAAGAAATACTAATTGGTAAATACACCAACTTATGGTGTCTGGTCACAATGTGGACATTCGTGGCCACGTTCCTATCTAAAATCATTTTCTGGTTTAATTAACGTCCCTGGCAGACACAGAATAACATGTGATCCACAAGGAGAAGGTGTGGTAAAAAATTAAAACGAAAGCATGCAATACAGAGCACGGGATTTGTAACACGACTAACCACCAAAAACTGCGCCTGGTAAGTCAGTTATATACCATATATGAGAAGGAATAAATTTTCCGCACTCACCACATTTCCAGGTGATCTACAAGGCGTATGCGCAGCCAAAACCATAACAGGCATCTGAACCTCATTTTCCGTGAGAGATTCAGGTCTAGGAGAATTCCCTCCAGTTACCTCAGAATCCACCTCCATTGCTTGAGGCTTTGAAGAAGCATGAGGTGTTTGGCAGGATGGGCGAACATATGTTAAGTTTAACTTGGGTGTTGCAGTAGGCGAAGTATCCACCACGACAATTGTTTCCTCCGGAATGGATATAATCTCAACATCGTTTTGAGTGTGCGACTGGCGAAATAACAAAAAAAGGCCGGATGAAGACAGGGCTGCTGTGGGATCAGCATTTTCGACATTAAGTAATTAAACATTCGAAATTGATACTTATGCACCAGATTTACAACAGAGTCAAAATTCTAACAATAATTTAAGGCACAAGAATCGTGTCTAGTAGAGCATCAAAAGTAACCGAATAGTTACAAATATATAAATGTATGTTGGTATAGGAGGTTAACTTTAAAAATATTCAAATTGGAATCATAGAAAGGATAACATGAACATGCAGACTGAATTCGATGGACTTTAAGCATACTTGAGTTGAGGTAGAAGAATCAAGCGCACGTTTCGTTTTTCTTGTACTATAGGCTAGGGATGCATTTTTTGCCCTTGATGTGCGAGTACCACGTCCCCTCGGTTTTGACGCTGCACTTTGTGGAGCGACACAAGTTAAAGATTCCGGTACGCAAAAGTCGGGAATAAGATCCTGAATTTTTTGGCATGTCTGAACAAGAATTTTTGTTGAAAGTGACTTCACATCTTCTGAAATGGTTTCTATTTTCTTCAACAACTGCCCTCCGCTTTCAGCCACATTCATTCCTACTATAAAGTTTGAATAACACACACAAAGCCTTCAACGATTCCGTATCATTATAACAAACGATCGACAATTAAACATCCAATCAAATCGGGTATATGATTTAATTATTAACATTAAGATAAACCACTGCTTTGGTTAAGGTGCTTCAAAGTCTAAATAATTAGTGTAAGCTAGGTAAACAGTTTTGAATATAGCAATTTGAGTTTACACTAGTCGACTGTGCCCAATTTATCGCACAAATAATCATTTTCTGCTTAAAATAATTTCTTTTAAACATAGATTTTCAATTTTACTACATAGATTTTTGGTTATTTACTGGGTTGGTGCAACATAATATCAAAACAAATCTACTTCCTAATGTCTATTATTGCAAAATTTCCTCAATTAATGTAAAATAATCGCACTTTCCTGCACTGATTATTAGCAACAAACTACCAGTTACTTTATAATTACTTTATTTTGGGTACTTGGGCACTGAGGATGTAGGTCCCATTCTGTCCCACAACGATATGCATGAGACTAAGACAATTTCCTATAGTTCTCAACCAACATTCACCAAGTCGGTAGCTTGAACGGTACTGTACCATATTCCATGTCATTAAAATTTGTCGTATTTATTCAAACGAAGAATCAAAGGTGGGTTTTAAGAGGATGAAGATCGTTCAAATGATACTTAGAACTGAAAGAATTCCAATAATTAAATTCAGTGAAGTTCCCCTTTCTCACATCCGTGGCCCATTCATTTTTCATCATAGATCCCAGGTTAAACTGTGCCTTTAACTACTCGCCAAACGCCTTTAAGGACAAAATGAAGTATCGAAGGTGCACGTCAATGTCTGAAGTGATTGCTTGAAGAAATCGAATGAGGCTCCAATGGGGAGGTAACCTACCATGCCACCCAGTCGGTCATCCAGATAAGTTCAACCAATTAAAACCGGTTTTCGATCTTACGGCCAAATTCTGGGGAAACTCTATGTGCTCGCGTTTTGGTTTACTTCTGAGTTTTCGATGGAAATGTCACCACCATTTCAAAATTGAGCCAATTTTTCAGCCAGCGCTCCCCTTGTATGCCGAACAAGCAGTGAAGTTTTGTGACCGGTTCACGTTTTGGGATTCGACTATTTTGGACGGCCTAACGCGAAACCATGTGGAGGTTTATTTAACTGCTTTATCAAATGAGCAGAGATTTGGGAATTCAATTGAGGCGGCTTCGTTCACGTGTACATACAGTTGGTTAGAAAAACCATGACTAACCAGAGCTAAGAGCATTCTTTGAATAGAATTTGGGGTAAAATGTTTAACCAATTATTAAAATGGGGTAAGTGCGATCAAAAAGCGTTTGGAGAACAAACTCTTACTTAACTATCCCTGCTAAGACGCAATCTGTCAAGCCATTTACTGGACACAATAACTAAGATTCATTTTGACGGACGATAGCAAGTACATCTTCCAGCAAAAGCTCTCTGGGAAAAATGCTGTTGTCAGAGTTAGCAGCTAATCGAAGATTCCGATATCAACGATAAAGGGTGAATTTTATGGATAGACGGCGCAATTTAAGTCATGGTGTAACCGACATTAGAAAGCGTTGCTACTTTGGTCAGATATGTCCCCGCAATGGGGAAATCAGTTCAAACCTAGATCTTCGAATTTTTATTTTTGATTTTTACCTGTTTGTCGATGCTTAGTAAGTAAGGTGGACGCGACTGTTTGTTAACCGTTCAGTCTTGTTTTGCGTGTCGAGCACACCTGAGCGATTGATCTTCTTGAATTGATGATCACCCTAGTCTATGCGGTTGTTTAGAGACAAGATCAGATAGCACAAAGCAGGCCGAATTGCATCTGTTGTCACTAACTTGTTTGTTTTTTTCAGACAATGGCAACCGAGCTACAACAAACCAGGAAGCATGTTAATACGCAGCAGTGTCGGATCATTTTCTACTATACGTGGGTCATTAGATATCTTTTCCTAGACAACTGGGAACAGAAATTAATGAGAGCGACAACCGCAATCCTATGTTAAAATAGACCCCATTACTTGTGTGCCACTTACCTAAAAAGAAAAACTTTTGGTTGCTGCCGAGGTGCGAAACAGGGAGCCGCAAATAAGTCTAATTTACAATGAAGTTGAATAGGAAATGCACTGCCACCCAATTCCAAGCGGCATCATAAGAAGGCGAAATCTATTGGATAAAATTTACCCCACCAACGTTTCATTGACAGCTTGGAGAATGACAACATATGCTTAGTTTGATTCAAGACAAAAACAAGAAAACACGGGCGATTCTCCCTTAACAATTGTTCTACATGACACAATACAGTTAGGTCACACGATTGTGTATTTTTAAGAATCTGCAAGTTTTGTAGTTACAAGGGAAACCAAGTGTTTTTGGTGTTCTGGAAGCAGAAGACGAGTAATGTGTGCTCCATCTTCACTCTGTAATTCCTCCACAAAACTTGCCTCACAACCAGCAAGCACCGACGTCTCCCACACCAAGTAGCCCTGTGTAGCCAGCGCCAGGACGACATTTCGCACGCGTCCAACTGCCAATCGCTCCTCGAGAGATGAAAATATCTTCTTACCGGAGATGGAGGCACCCAAGCATGCACCCAGGTCCATACCACGGGCTGGTCCAATCCAAACGAGCCCGTTGCAGCCTAAAATAAGGCCAACAGCCGTGGTGCGGACTTGATTGGACCCCTCAGATAGAGAAGGGACTGCTAACTGGTGTCGGTGAATCTTCTGACGACGAATTAGACTTGGTGAGAGACGCAGAACGCAGCCTTCGCCAAGACGTCCGGTTCGTTTGCCGGGCATGTGAAGCTGAAGGCTCCCGTCACGGTAGACTTCACGAACTTCAGCAACAATCAAATCGCCTTCCTGCAAAAGAAACAACAACGCATTTTAATTTGCTGATCGAGATTAAAAATGTTGCCTCAATTATGTAACGGTAACTGGTCACGTAAAAAGTTAAAAATTAACGATAACTGTTCTGGTGGAAATTCCACGCCTGTATTTAAGCCCATGAATGATAGAAAGCTACACACAATCAGCCAAACATCATTTTGTCCTGTGGTGGAGGCAATGAAATGTACTTACTCGCATAAAAGAGCGCATTGCGCGTTCATCATCCTCTGATTTTCGACGCAGCTCACCAGTTGGCAATTTAACGTTTGCAAGAGAGAGATTTGCCAAGTGATAGGAATTCACGTCCACTTTCCAACGTTTTTGTTCCACCTGGGGAATACAACAAAATGCATTACCCCCCCCCCATTGTTGTAAAGAAAACACAAGCAACAGAAAGGCAAATGGACGTCTGTCGATTAAAGTTGAAGGCTTCACCCCCAATGAAATAAGTCAAGGCTAACGAAACGATGAACAGACGCCGCTAGGTCTTACCTCAATAATTCTTCCTACCACAGTATCTCCAACGTTTCCGGAGTAGCGAGCACTGGGCGGCTCAACGTACACCAGCTTATTTACGGACTTTAAACGGCCTGCAAGTGAGGCGTGCATCGGCAGCGCCGAGGAGGTTGCAGTATCCATTGGCGTTTGGAGAGTGTCCACGGGGAGTTCTTGGTCACCCGAGGTAGTGTTGCTCGCGCCGCCAGTCGTATCCACACGATAAGTGCCATGGCCAGTAATGAGATTAGAGCCTGAGGTAAATATAACTTCCCCAGGAATAACTATCACACGAAATTCATCGCTGGTTGGCTCGAGTGAGGATGACACTGACGAACTTTCTTTCAGAATGGATGGTGTAATCGTGATAGGCATCGCTTACTGTAATACGGTAAATAATATGAATGTGACGGCGAGGACTCAATCTTTAGTTTTTTTTAAATAAGTAGCGGAAAATCACAAAATTAAGTATTTACATAGAGAAGTGGCGCGAATGCAGCCAGATAGATTATTGTGATAAATTACACGATAGGTAACAATTGAGCGAAGACCAAATGCGCGATTTGCACCATGATGTGCAGAGAGTCAATTCCAAAATATGAAAACGAGCAGTAGGATACTAAAATACACCAGACAAAAAAAAATATGCGCAGAAATGGGGTACGAAATAATAAAAACAACATTAGAAATATGAGTGCAGGCGACTTCATTGACAAAACAAAACAACCGCCGTACTTAAACAAGGCCATCAGTTTCCTTTAAAAAATGCCACTGTTAGGATACCTGTACAGGCAATTTGGTTGTCGATTAAAGATATTTATGATGTAGTGAGGGTGAAGCAATTGGACCATCCAAGGATGAATAACGAAGACGAGCTCGGAAAGCAAGGGAAATGGAATTTAAAATTACCACCTATTATACATGAAGGCATCCATAGATAATTTAATAAAGTTGTAAGCATTTTAATATCGCAATTCTGTGGCAGGGGAGTGTGGCGTCGGATTAGGGCGCAGACATATTGGACCACCTGGCCTCAGCCAATCCTGTGTCTCTCTGCAATCCAATGGC